ATTAGTGGTTAAACTATGAAAGCCAACCAGACGCGGTTAGACGAGTCGAAATTTCACAGAGTCCGTCTGCTTCCAATGTAGACGTCACTCTTATATGTGAATGCAAAACTTTGTTTGAAAGTGTTTTTACTCCCTCTTGACATGGAGACTGAAATTTATAACAAATATGGCTCATACGCTGGGTTAACTATACCACTCAATTTTGCAATTATAACTATGTTTTAATGTTCATCGCCAAACTCTGTGCTATCGTTATTGGGTCCGTCGTCTGAATTCTACGTACATGTATTAATTTAATCAACCATGTAAAGTGTTCGCCTATTGTTATTAAATTGGCCATAATTTGAAGTTGTGCAGTTTGTAGCACCTTACAATAGCTTTATACTTTACATATAAATAGTCAAATGGGACGAAAAATTCCTAAGGTCATTTATATTTAGGAACTAGCCAGCTTTATAATATTTATTCTGTTTTCACTTTTGTTATTTTCTTTAACTCTATGCAAGTAGAGATACAGAAGTATTGATTCGCTTAATTGATATCGGATATATGTTTCAGGGTGCACCACTATTTGCATGCCACGTTAAACACACGGGAGAATTATTAAAGGAATACTTAGCGTGCTTCGTGTGGTACAGTTTCGTGCAAATATTTGCTGAATTGTGCAAGTTGGATAGGCCATAGAAACTCCCATACGGCTCTTAACTGACAGTTACTTTCAAAACTATTACGCTTTCAGTCCTATGCTCGTGATATACTACCGTCTCATTCAGCCAACGTGGCATTTAACACTTTCTGTTATTTCTATTTTTAAAAACACCTTTACACTTTTTAAATACCTATAAGAGAATAATATTAGAGAAAAATAATAACGTTTCTTTATTCTTTTTCAATCTTGTCGCACTTATTTGAGAGATCGCACAATTTATTCATCGTTAACACCGCATAGCTATTGTAATGCCCTAAAACTGGCTGTTAGAAAATGCCTTATGGCATTAAGCCCGCCGTTTGTACCATTTAGTACAAAAAAGTGTGCAAAAAAAATAAAATTAGCCGGAAAAGTAGAATGATATTTTGCTTAATAAAACAACGGACAGTCGTTTGAACCCGTTTTCAATTTTGTAACAGCGTCCACTGATGCAATTTTAGATATAGAAAAAAAACACACGTTAGTAACGTAAATATCTGCTTCCATAATGTTACGGCCGTAAATCACATTGGTGTATCACATGCGTCCTCCATATCTAGGCAAGCATCTGCACGTTTCAGTAATTTGCATATAATGACTGTTTTTAAAACAAATTATATAAGGTTAACGCATGCGAGTCTGGTATGAATAGTTTTACATGTTAACGCTAAATCTTTGATTACCTTATTGGCTACTACCGTGTTTTGAATGCGTTATTATGGGCATTAACACTTTTCTGTTGTTTGTTGTGTTTTCTGTCACGCTTTTATATTTGAGCCGTGATAGCTCAGTGTCCGTCCGGATGCTCGTCTTTAATTACATTTACTGCATCAACTTGAGTTCGATCCCTGGTGCCAGCACCAACAAAATTGTTAATTTTAAGTGCTGAATAATCACGTGCTCGGCGGTGAAGGAAAACATCTTGAGGAAACCTACATATTTTCGAAATAATAATAAAAAAATATATCGAAAATATGTGAAGTCCGCCAATCGGCAGCGGGGTCGCCTGTTGGACTATGCCCTGATACCCTCTTTACAGAGCTGTTACTTTTCTTTACTTTTATATTTAAATGTCTGGAATAAATTATTTAAAAAGTTTTAATAGAAAATGAAAGCTGTTTTTTATTAAAACTAGGCCTTTTACTGAACGATGACCAAATCAAAGTTCAAGATAGTATCTCAGCTTTGTTAGAGACTTGTCCCATGAAGCTCAAGCCCGGGTTTTTCCAGACACGTTCTGACTTGGCCTACTTGTTCGTTTTAAAATACTCCAAACTCAAGTCAGCCGAAGTATAGAAATTATGTGCATATGCGGTTTCACTCTGGATAGCATGTACTCGTGTGGTTCCTCTACCCCGACAGAAATGCATCTTTTGCGTTGCCCTTATTGTCCTATTTCCTGTGTTGCTGTGTCCTGGTAAGGCAGAATTTAAACACTGGAAATCTCTAACAAGACCAAATTAAAATAGGTGTAGAGGCAATTTAATATTTTTGTAGTTAAGATTTCCGAAACACGAGTTTAATATGCAATTCGAAGCTCAATTAATTGATAAATCGACGCTTTAAGACCAAGTAACTACCCTACTAATTGGTCACCACTGCTTCTAATAAATTGTTACACAAAATAAGTGCGAAAGTTATAAAGTGATTTTGTTGCTTTAGTACTCAGTCTTTAATACATAAGCGTACAGGTCATTCGGTCTGGCATTCCCCTGTGACGTAATCCCGGTCTAGCAGGGCCTTTTGATCCCGTCATAGGCTTCAAAGGCACGAATCCAGTGCATTGTGGGGGATTTCGAGACTGTTTAGCACGGCCCCGCATGTAAGCCGGGATTAGCCCAACGTGTCATGTAGCCACTGCACTGTTTAGTAGCTAATTGGGGTTGTCCGAGCGATGTACGATGCCGCCCAACATGGAACGAAACTTAGTAGGATTACGTAACGCCGCTTATAGCTCTCGCTGAAGCTCCGTTCACAGGTTAATTACGAACTTTCGGGACTGACTTTCAAGTCGGATGAGGTCACGAGCTTAGTTAAAATAAGATTATTTAATATCTGTGTTCATACTTGCTCGTAAAATTCCATTATTTACAGTTCTAGTCTATTTCTCATGAGAGTATTTTAATATGAAATTGGTAGAGAGGCTGTTGGTAGAATTGCTTAATTTTTAGTGGCAAAGTCTTAAAACTTGGCTATTTTGAATTTCTACTGCGTTACTTATGACACTAATATTTTCATCAAGTTAGTTTCCACCGTGACGCATTAATTAAGCAAAGCACGTCGTTCTGTTGACGTATCTAATACTAATACGCCAGCCGGGTGGTGTAAAGGCAAATTTGATCGTCATCTTCGCGACTACATGTAAGTAATTACTGCATTAGTCGTCCTCCTGCCCTTATCCCACCTATATGATGATATGTGAGAAATGATATGTGAGTACTATTGTTAATGGGTGTGGCTAGGTATTTCACGACTGGTTGCCTGCTTGACGTCAACCCTCATTGGGAATAAACACCCATATCCAGTCTGGGACTCACACAAATAGACTATGGGCGCTAGGTAACTTTGATAAAGGGAACCTAATACCAAGTACTAGAAAAAGGCTCTATTAATCGCGCAATATTTTTACAGTAGTAGGTATAGAACTCACGCCCAAAAGACAGGTTCACTACCCTTACTAAACTAATCGGGTCGTGACTTCGATACCAGCGATTTTGCAGCAAATTTTTTTATACAAAGTACGTACTTAAGCCCTTACTAGTAAGACTTATTGTTTACAAGTAAACAAACTTAATAATAGCTGCGCGGTAACTTAAGTCTGAGCGTGCCTGAAGTATGAGAATAATAGATAGAATTATCATATATTTTTTATACGCAAAACTCATGACAATAATAACTGAATATGATGGATTCAATGTATATATAAATCCTGGCATGAAAAGAAGCAAATTTGACAATCCTTGACCTGTAGCTGTCGAAACAATTCTCTCTGAAAAGATGCAAAAATACTCTCACGAAAAGCAGGCCTTTTCGTAAAATAACGCCATGCCCATACTCCTGAAGCTACACAGATGTTATGTTTCGGTGAAAAAATACAGCGCTCGTTATAATCGTAAAAAAGCAAAGCCGTAAACACACCAAGGTAACCGGGTATCCCTAGAGCCCTTATTTCGTGACGAACACGTACGATTTACGTCATCGGCGTATAAACGGGGAACCCCCTATGTTGCCCATTATCAGATCAAGAGCTGTCATCGCGGTACACGCTTTCGCGTCAATCTTCCGCGAACGTGCGTTCGCCTCATTTATCATGATTCGTGACTGAGACGCTATCCGGATTTGCTTTTTAAAACAATAGACATCGATTTATCCATAAAAGCTTTGTGCCACGAATCTTTTTAGTGTCGTTCTAACACGGGTGTGTATTATTCAGTTGTTTGTGTAAACTGTTAATTACACTTTCTAGTCCATAAATCCGTATATCAAAAATTCAATTTATTATTAAATTCAAGGGAGATAAAGTAAAAAGATTTGGTACTTAATTTTTACGGGTTGATAAAAATTTAAACGAATTTCTTTCCGTTCCTTTTATAATTGTATCGAAACATTATCCCATTTGCGTTTGCGTTTTTGCAATGAAATTGGTCAGAGAAACTTAATGAAAGCTCAAATTAATACTGTGAGCTTCATACGCATTATGAAGACTTGGTCTATATCATCATGAGCTGATTCCTAATAACGGTCAGTACAAATAAAGAAAAAATATATTTCGAAGATATGTGAAGTCCGCCAATCCGCAGTGGGGCCGTGTGGTGGAATATGCCCTGATACTCTCTGTAGAAGGCCTTTGCCCAGCAGTGGGACATGTATATTTTTACTGTTACTTACAAATAAAGAATTTTTTTTTAATTAATTTGATCTTATATTGTCTTAATATCTATCTCTCACGCCAAGATTTCCGCTACCCTTGTACGTAAAATCGATTATTTCAATTTCATTATGCATTTGTTAGTTGCACAAATAAGGTAATTTGCAATTCAATGAACCGCACTGTGTCTATATGATGTCAATTCTAAGTCCACATCTCGGAGTGATTCAAGTCCGTTTCACCCTCTCCCAAGTACCGAAACTGACTCATTGGCGATCCGTGCAAATTTCAACAAATGGTACATTATACGAAGTCCGCTAGGTACAGATAAGCCGAACAGTTCCCGCGCGTTTAATTAAAACGATCATCTCGTCGTTCGCGTCCGAACGTGGCCCGCGGGCGGCGACGTGAGCGTCGCGCGACGATTTACAGCCGCAATTAGTAATGTACCGCCCAGCAGGACAGACGATCTCGCCTGACGAATGGCTACGGCCGCGCCGCTCGACCGATCCCGTATGCCGCAGACAATGGGCCATGCTCTGCCCTTCAATCATTGCCGCGCGAATTGCGAATGTTACTAATGCGGCGTGTCTCCGTGGTGCAGCCACAAAGCCTGGATTCGACGCCGTGGGTCCTGGGTTCGATTCGCACACGGGACAAGATAAAGTTCTGTAGATATATCTCCTGTAATGTTTATTTATTGGTTTAAGCTAAATAATTCAAAATGACTAATATGTTGTGACTTTGACTGATTAAAATAGATTTTCGGCGAAATTTCTAATGATTATTTCGTCAAGCGTTGAAGCAGACGGCGCCGGGTGTCAGAAACTGAAATGTCGTTTAATTAATGGAGATGTACCATATCAAGATACCATCATGGGCACCCTTATTTCCAAGCATTAAGGATCATATTTACGGAATTGTTTCGTAAATCCGGTGATATGAAATATGCATAATGCTTAGAGCGAAACGGTGTAAATGGTCTGTGACGGCTGGACTCGCAATCAACATTCTCATATGTCTGCCACTCTCAAGGATTTAGTACAAAAACTGGCACAGATCAATGTAATGTTCAGCATTCATTGAAATTATAGTTTATGTTGGCGTTCGTGAAAAAAATATGGGAGCAAAATTTTTTCCACGCAGCAGCCTCAGCTGTTGCACGAATGGGCAGGCTCGTCCGGGTAAGTACCACGACCTCACAGAAGACCGACGTAAAGTGGAAGTGTAATACTTTCGCGTTTCGTCTGGAGGTAGCCGGAGCCGAATTTCCAAAAAGGTTGTCAACGCATCTGCAAACCCTCTTGTGTAGTAAATGTCCATGGGTGGCGGTATTCACTTAACATCAGGTGAACCGCCTGCTCGTAAGTGGATCCCGGTTACCTCACCAGACGAAACGTGAAATTTTAATACTTCAAATTCACGCCGGTATTTTGTGAGGTTACCTCCCCGGGCGAGCTTGCACATTCGTGCAATATGGAAGGCTGTTGCTTGCCTTTACTACAGTTACGTGGAAACTTGTTGTGCATTTTGTCTGGTGAGCAAGGCAGCTGGGGCATACTATAGGGTAGCAACACATTTGCAACCCTACGGGTTTTACAAACGTCAAAGAGCGGCTGCTATTATTTAAAATCAGGTGAACAGCCAGCTCGTTTGAAAACTCCTCACATAAAAAAATTAAACCTAAATACTTTAAAAAAAAACCGGCCTATAGAATTGAATCAGATTCGACAGTCTTAATGTTACCCAGATATTTAAAACGATATTTTTATATAAAAATAAATTGTGAAATGTGAAACTTCAAGTTACCGTGCTCCACGGACTATAGGCCTGAGTGTAAATACTTTTACGTCACCTAATCGTCTGTGGTAAGTTTTAAATTATGTCAATAAACAGGAAATTGTATTTATCATTCATAATGAAGTTAGATAATGATTTAATGTCTTATTTTAACTATCTAATTTTCTTTTCAAAGAATTTGTTTTCTGGGTGTGTATGGTTAAGTATAAAAAGCAATATTGAGTATAATATCAGAATTAAAAAATAGATTAGATTACTGGACTTTGTAAAGTAGGGTTCCTAAGCCTGAACTTTGTAATAGTAGCTTATTGTTTGTTAGGGACAAATCAGTGCACTAGTGACTTGAATGTGTATTTATAGTATTTATATAAAGTCAAATCTCATTTCACCATTTGTACCAATTAGACACCCTAAGTTAAATATTTTACAACAAGCCTGCAACATGCCCAATAAATTGAATATGAGAATTAACCAACTAACATAAATCCTTATAATTGTAGAAAAAATGTTTTCATTACTTGAACGAAGATCGCGCGAATGGCAGACACGTACGAAAGTAACGCAGAAATCACTCTGTTAGATAGGGCGTGATATGAGTTAGGTATGATTGCTTCGACGGAATGAACTGTTTGGATGGAACGAATGGATCAAAATGAAACCGGGTGTCATAAATCAGGCGGTCGTAACGCCGGGCTTAATGGAACTGGAATTTGTTATGCCATACAATAGTATTTATGTTAGCCTGGTAAACATATTACGTAGTTTCGTTGATTTTCGGCGTGCATTTCAGATATAGCTAGAATTTAAATCGAATATTCTTTAGGTCTATTTAATTTGTAACCAATATTGTCCACTGATAGTCTTGATAGCTCAATGTCCGGGCGCTCCCTTTAATTCATTAAACTCGAGCAACTTAAAGTCCCGGTGCCAACACCAACGAAATTGTTAATTTTAAGTGCTCAATTATCACGTGCTCAGTAGTGAAGGTAAGGAAACCTGGATATTTTCGAAATAATAACAAGAACAATAACAAGAACATTTCGAAGATATGTGAAGTCCGCCAATACACAGTGGGGTCGCGTGGTGGACTATGCCCTAATACCATCTGTGCAGAAGAGGCCTTTGCCAAGCTGTGGTACATGTATAGGGTGTTTCTTCACTTTTTATACACAACGAAATCTTTCATCTTTTAACATTTCATTTTTATAGTGCTTCGTAGCGAGGTGGACTTTTAGGTTTTACTTTAGCCAGTATACATTTATTTAATAAATATTGCATTAGATTATCCCTATAAGTTATTATGTATATGATGCTACAAATGATTGAAATCCGTCCGAGCCGAACAACGGACACAGTACAGCAGACAAAATAAGCTGATTGCAACAGACAACCAGTCCTGACAGTCGAATTGTGCGCAAAGTTTGGTACGGACAACATGTCTCCAACTTCATCGAAGCGTGAAAAAATTGCGATTGCGATAGCGTCAACGTGTGTGCAACCAGTAAAATGGAGGGAAAAGAAAATAAGGGGCGAAATTCTATTTGGAGGATTTCTATGTGAAATATAAAACATATTAATGTTTGATAAAATATAGATTATAACAGTAGTAAAATAGCAGCCAATATATTTAACACAGTTGGGCAAGACGTTACTAAATCGAGATTAGTGTGGCATCAGTGTGGCATTAGTGTGACAAATTACAAATGACTGATAATTTTGATTGAAAAATGTTAGCGCTATAAAAAAAACTAACATAAATTATGATCTCTTGGGTCTTCATTAAAAGGTCCTGCTTTTTTTACGGAGTTACAAGCTAACTGAACGATCATCTTATATTAGGTATTACCATCGGCCATGGTTTGCCCATCTCATTATTCGTGGGATCCCAGATGCGGTGCGAGTCTTTAAAAGAGCCAAGATTACCTCGCTCATCAAACTGAACGCAAAACTGCAGTGACGTCTATTTTAGGATAGTTTCCTGTGAGGCCATAATTCGTCTGGGGAGGTTCTATAGTACTTCCCCGTATGATCCTTTTTACTTCTCCCCTCAGTACTGTGCGTGAGCACCTCTCGAAGACGGATAGACCTTCATCGACTCCCTCACCATCTTGCAGCAGCTCGAGACCACTTCGAGCTGCTGCCAATCCGTGTCCCCTTTTTGCCGCCTTTCACGACAGGCAGAGAATACCTTAGTCCTATTCTATGAGCCCGCGACTAGACTGTCCCCGTATGATCCTATTGATGTAACAGCACAAGCTGTTACATCAATAAGCAGGATAATGATGGGTGGGTCCATTTTTCATTATTCGTATTTTAACTAAATGGGATAGATTGAAAAAGATAACTAATGTGATTAAACATAGTAAATTTCTTACTTTATCTATCTTAAATCATAGTAAGTAGTAAGATAGTAAGCGTACCACAGTTTTGCTGTCGCAAGTCATTCGCTGCCCGCTAAGCAGGTGATAAAATCTGGAGGTACTGCTTGCACAGGAAAGAAAGCCAGTCAGCAGAGCGGATCTTTACTTTTGAAGAATTGCTAACGAATGTTAAGAAAAGTCTGCACGAAAACGTTTGCTCCAGTAAGAAACAAATTGCTTTTTTTAGGAAAATCAGGACAGTGTATCACAGGGTCATTTGTAAAGCAAAGGAAAGTTACTACAGATTTATATGTAAACAATTTGTTGTCCAGAACGTTAGAAAAACTGCACGTCTCAAAGCACAAAGCGTCCTCATATCGAGGTTTTCCTTCACCACGATAACGTGTTCACACATTCCGCTGAGATATTAAAAGGCCTCATAATAGGGATGATATATTTTTATGTTAAGAGTTGACAATTCGCCTAATTTTAAGTGATTACTGCCGCCCATGGACATCTAAAACACTTGAGGTATTGCAGATGCGTCAAGAGATTGCAGGTGCGTCGCCGATCTGAAAATTATAGGTCCATATTACCTTACTCACCAGATGTAATGCTGAAAAAATATAATAAATAATAATATATAATTAATAAATATAATTCCACTTCACGCTGGTTTTTTATCAGGCCTTAGGACTTCCACGGATAAGGCTGCTTATTGCTATAGCTACTGCTGTTGCTGGAATTGAAGATTCAATGGTCTTTTATTTCAGAAAATTAAATATAGGCTTGCACTTTATCTTTTATTACTATGAAAGCAGCGGTGAATGCGTTCCTGGAAGCCATTGCAGAGGTCCCTACAGAATACTGAATCTAAGCTTTACACAAAGATTCCAATAAATGAAAAGAGTAACGACGTATATTTAAAAATAATTTATCACAAATGTTATATCTATTAACTCAATTCCATAAACTTTCAATATGACCTAAGCATGACATTTCGTGTAGAAAAACAAGATATAGTGATACGATTCGCGATAAGATATCAAATATCAACTGTCGCTCGGAACGTTGAGGGTTAAGTGTATCGTAAAATTTCACGAGAGACAATATCGTAAACGTAGGTGCTGTGGAAAATACTCTTAGAAATATGCCGCATAAAAATCTTAGGTCATAAAACTTACACATAGGTGCACATAACTCAAAACATACGTGTTTACCATAAGTCTCAAAACATTCATATTTTTCAAGCAAAAAAAAAAATAAAAATAAATAAATTGGTTTCATAAACACTCAATAAGATGATCGTATACCTATACATAAAATTGTCTTCGTATTCATGCGGTTATGGGTACAAACTGCTGCAATTTTCGTATTAAGATAACGTAAATTAAAGGAAAATCTTGATTTCCACTATTTACGCTATGTTATCATTCGAAAAGCTCCTAGTTTTTAACAACTAAGCATCCGAATATCTATTAATTTTCCAAAATGGTTGGATTAGGAAAAAAC